AATCCCCCTCGTCTACCCCTCCCTTATTAAAACAATCATGTACACTGCATCTTAAGATCTTAAAAATAAAGCAGAGAGTGCAAGACACGTCTTCAGAATAAATAAAGAAATTCACAATGAAGCATACCTTGGCCACAAACTACATAAATTTATAACAATAATTCCTTCATTTGCATACTCCAAAGCCTGGCAACAAACAGAAAATGTCCAAGGGTGTGCAGGGCCTTAAGGAGGCGAAAAACTGTGAGATATCCAATTTTTAATATGTTTTTAGGCACCCCTTTGGGACATGTAGATTATAATATTTCTCCAGCCAAACAGAGAAAAAGACAACTGCAGAGAAACTGTCTTTCTGTTTGTGACTGCTGATACTATAGTCTATTACTACGTTATCCTTTATGTGTACTCATTTCAACGTATTGGTTTTTTTTTTTTTTTTTCAATTTTTTTGTCAAGTTTAAAAAATATGTTTATTGTTTTTTAATTATTTTTTAAATCCTATTTTTTCTGTTTTGTAATGTAGGAACCATGACCACCCCGCCAACCGGTCGCAAGTCCCGTCGATCCGTTCAGAACCGGATCCGGCACAGCAACCCGCAGAAGATCCGGCAGAACAAGATGCGAGTTATCCGGATGTTGTTCGTGGTGGTACTCGAGTTCTTCATCTGCTGGACGCCCGTCTACGTGTTGTCCACCTGGATTGTGTTCCATGTAGAGAGTGCCTACCAGGTGAGACACCACACATTTTACGCCTCTTGCGACAAATTTTTAGCAATGTTAGGGGCGAGGTTCCGAGCTAGGATTCAAACGTTTCACCAGTTATGGAGTTAGCTAGCAAGCTAGCCAGATAGATAGATAGATAGATGAATGGATGGGTGGATGGATAGATAGATAGATAGATAGATAGATAGATAGATAGATAGATAGATAGATAGATAGATAGATAGATAGATAGATAATACACACGCAAACAAACAGACAGAGAGAGGGACAAGGAAGAGACAGAGGAACACACACACACACACACACACACACTCACACAAACACACACACACACACACAAACACACACAAACACACACACACACACACACACACACACACAGAAGCGACTGTGGGTTGTTTAACTGAGATAATTAAATAATATGTATAATTAAGGATCCCACAAACAAAACTTTGATCGAGAGTAGTGCTTCTTTGACCATGACTATCTCTACTATCAGGGTCAACCAGGCTGCGCGACGGGCGAAAAACGTCACAAATGGGCAGGTCCTAACACTCCGATGTTATGAGGAAAAAATCCCCAACAACCTGGGTTTTTTTAAAATGTAGGGCTCCTTGTCAGAACACACCCTCTATCCATTTACCAACCACCTCCCGAAGAAGGCGGGAAAAAATTCTTCTCTAGAAACAAAAGTATGAAAGAAACACTATTTCATCGTACTAAACATCGAGGGATACAATGCATTTTGAGAAGAAAAAAAGAGAATAATATTCCCTTGACAATTTTTTATCATATTATCGAGTGGACGGGGTTTTTCCGAAAAATCCCATGTTAGGCGTTTATTATTACGTTTTGCAATGGAACGTTTTACATAACAAATCGACACGGTGGCACCTGGCCTTGAAAAAACAAAATCGATCTCAACTGATACCGAACAAGATACGGGTTTTACTAATTTGTCTGAAGGATTATTATTGGCTGTCAAAAGTTAGTTTTTGAGACTTTAATATTAGGACTATTTTTTCTGACATCTTTTTGTGGATTTCGTCAGACATTAATGATGTTTAAAGCTTCATAGGATTTGACAGACAGTGGGAAAAGGTTATCTGTGGCTGTACTTTAACTTTAAGAGAAAGGAACACATTGTGTAGTATTTGTGTGTTATTGTTTGTGTATATGCGTGTCTTTGTTTTGTTTGTTTGTTTGTTTGTTTGTTTGATTGTGTGTGTATGTATGTATGTATGTATGTATGTATGTGTGTGTGTGTGTGTGTGTGTGTGTGTGTGTGTGTGTGTGTGTGTGTGTGTGTGTGTGTTCTTGCTTAGTTAATAAAAGAAATAGACAGAGGGACAGAAAGTTAGAAAGAGACAAAGATACAGAGAGAGACAGGCAGGCAGACAAACATACAGACAGCGAGACAATGATAAAGAGAGAGAAAGAGAGA